ATACATGTTTTTTATAAATTTATTCAACTTCATGTAATTTCCACAAACGATAACATAATATTTGCACTTCAAATTCCTTTAGTCGTACGAACGAAATTTGATCTCTTTGAACTTATTCCTCTTCCAATCCAGCACAACGATTCAAAATTTTCATCTTATATTATCCCTCAGAATCGTTATCTCCTTTTATCTCAAACTAAATCACAATTTACCTTCCTTAATGAATTGTCTAACTGTAACGAATATCGAGACGAGGAGTACGTCTGCTATCACCTGCACACTACAGCTTCAACAAGTCAAGCAATCTGTGAAATTGAGCTGCTGTCTCCTCACATAAAGAAAATTCCGTCTACCTGTACGACGAAAACAATCAAGGCAACCATAGAAACCTGGAATTACATTGCAAAAAACCAATGGATCTACGTCCTCCATGAGCCAACTACTCTAACCGTCATGTGCGAAGAAGGTCAAAATCACATGGAAGATGTGATTCTTCAGAGAAGTGGAATCATTCACCTTCAACCTCGCTGCAAGGGATATACTAGTCTCTTTGTGATTGAAGCCACCCACGAAATTAGTAAAAATGCAACCTACTATGTTCCACGCATGAACATTCTGGATGACGACTGTTGCATTCTGACACCTCATCTAGAGGCAATCGAATCGGTTACCTTAAAGCCGATACACCTTACGAACATCGATCTCACAGAACTCAAATACGCCAACAAGAAATTAGGTGAATTTGATGAGATCATTACTAAGCAAATAAATCAGCCATTCATAGTAACACATACTAGGTGGTACACTGTTGCCCTTGGAACAATTGTAGCGCTTCTGGTACTATTTGTGCTACTAAAGTGCTGTAAAAATTTCGGATGTCTCCGCTGGTTACAACGACTATGCTGTTCGACCACAGATCCAATTCGTGGAGAGATCAACCCACCATTAATCAAGAACTTTGTCAACTGCATCTTCGATTCATCATCATCATCATCTTCAAGACAATCTACAACGCCGAACAACGAGATAGTCACTTATCAACCAAGAAGGGATCGAGCCGTGGTCATCAACCCAATACCTGAGTTGTCGGAAGACGAAGAAACAACCCCTGTAGTTCGAGTCCAGTCACGACAAAGAACGCGAAGAAGTACCACTCCCCTCTAAAAACACATGTATCATTGATGTCCCTGTATACTTTTTATTATTTTATATTATTTTACTCATAATTCCTATACTCTAAAACAATCATTTAATCTTATAAAAAAAAAAAAAAAAAAAAAAAAAAAAATGAAAGGGAAAGAAAAGAAAGATAGATATATATATTTTATACATATCCGATATATGTAACGCAATCATTTACATTCTATTTATAATTAGACTATTTAAATTATTTTATAGATATTTAATACTATTCATAATCGATGTTCCTACACTATTTTATATTATCTTTAATGCAAAATCTATGTAATTCAACTACTCGTAATTACGTTAGTAATTTTTATGGCGGAAGGTGTTACAAACCAACATAATTTTTGTCAATTTTTTTTTATTTTTTTATTTTCTTTTTATATATATAACATATGTGATCATGCTAAAACCTAATCGTTAACCTCCCGTTAACAATCTTATGGCGGAAGGTGTTGTATACCAAGTCAATTCACTATCATACTTAAATAGTCCGGCTTCCTCACCATCTTATCTTATTTCAATAGCCCGGTTTTCTCATCGTATTTTAGCAACAAACATCCCAAATCTTTCCTTCTAATGACTCAACCGAACTACTCAGCTCCGAACCTTGACCCCCTGACTCCTGACCTCATCCCTTACCGACCACTAGACACAAAGTAACTCCCACTTTCCTATTTTTCCAATTCTATAAAATACCCGACACGTTTTCCTCCGTGCCCAGATTTTGCCGAACAGTTTTAGAAGTAGAGTCTACGCTCGACCGACGAATATTGTATCCAATAAAACTTCATCTGTATTTCATTTGTTTATTTAAATAAACTACCTGTGTGAAATACAACAGTACTTACCTCTTTTTGGATGAAATCCTATTGCGCTGTAATTTTTCACTGATGTCCTGATATTGGAAGATTCTTTACAGCAAGCCTATCCAAATATAGGTAGTATCTTAACCTACCCACTTCATATTTTCTTTCTCTTTCTCTAAACACTTTCTTATACATTGCCACGAATAATAAGTGAACTGCAATGAGGATAAATCTTTGAACTACACTGCTCTACAGTAACGTCGTTTTACAAATTTCACTTCACCACTCGGTCGGTTTACTTCGCGCAGCTTGATTGAAGGACTGAGCTCAACCTCCCCATGGTTATAAATGCTGCTCTACCGGCTCTACCGGCTCTACCGCTTGCCGCTTTCCACGGTTCCCACGGTAACGGTTGACGATTACAGGCACGTATGAAATACTCGTGATGGGGGCGCGGACCATAAATTTTGACGGGATTGCACTGATTGTATGCGCTAACACTGGAATCTAATAATATGTAATGTAGATCCAAATGTCACTAAAGAAGCCATTAAAAAACAAAGAGTTCGCGTATTTTAATTGTAAATTATATAAAGTTCAACTCATAATATGAATGTTATATGATATATATTTTATATATTATATATATCTTATTATACTTACTCATTATATATTTGTAATCAATTTATTTAATTTTAATAAACTAGTTCAAAATTTTTAAATAATTCACAAAACATTAAACACGGGGGCATTATTGAACCTTATTTTATGCGAGTAACTACATCACTGACACTGCGTTCAATACGCATGCGCAAAAAAACAATCCCAACTTTCCATTCCTTCGATTATATTCACCAGGGGTGGCCAAACTGTGACGCATGCGTCAAACGTGGCGCATTGCATCTTTACGCCTATATGTATGTATTTTTATATCATTTCTGACTACTATAGATTGGTGCTTTAATAAACTGGCGTAAATTAATGAATTTAATTGCGTGATTAAGTTATTCGTTTCCTTCCCTAAGCGAAGCAGATCCTATCCTTATCTTTATTTTTGAACCCTTAACCATAAACGTAAGAAGGTATAAAAAGTGCTCGAGTTATATGGCGCATCTAAACTCGTCTGTGAAAATATTGGTGCATGGTATGCAAAAGTTGGCCACCCCTGATATACACCAATACTGTCTAAAGATTCGCCCTCGCGACAGGCTCGTAGCAGCTGTTTCATTGCTCTTGGCCCTTGGCCCTTGGTCTTGTTGTGTTTAAAGATTAGTTTACATACTGTCTGCCGATCACAAGAAGTCCTAGAGAATAACGCAATCTGATTGGACGTGTCCCTCCTCGTAAGGAATGATCCCGAAACCGGAAATTCAAAAAATTACGAAACTTACGTATCCATATACGTAAAGAATATCCCCCTAATTAAAACCCAATTTTTTTGCTGCTGGTTTTTAGTCTATGGAGATAAAAATCGCCCTTAAAATTTCGGCCGTCATTTGTTTTTTTCTTTTTTTCCGAAACTGTTAAAGATATTCAAATACTTCATAAACAAACCTTATGTATAGTGTTTCTTTATGTTGAACCAAAAATATATTACAAAAAGTTATAAACAAAAAAGCTTAGAAACTGTTGAAAACTTCTAATACTTGTTATGAAAATAGGAAATGGTTTTTATTTGATTATCATTCGCTACGTTAAAGGAGCAAAAAATATTACAGAATGGTATGTTTTGTTTTTAGTTTATTGTTTGCAAACGGTAACAGATATAAAAAGGTCCTTAAAACAATAATTGTTGTTCTTGATCCCATTTATCATTTTCTTTAATTAAAAGCTGATGCAAGGGTTGACACGTGGCCGAGTCAATGTATTTGGGGCTTTGACCTGCTTTTCAAGGACTCTAACCGACTTCTCAGGGTTCTTTGGAATATCGATACCCCGAGCCTATGTCTGACATCGGACTTGGGCCGGCGGTATATGGCACGGCGATAGAGAGTTCGATCGCCGAGCTTCGAAGAAACGCGCGTGTGGTCGATGACATGGTGCTGCATGGTGCGTGCAGAGAGATAAGGATTCGAAATAAAGGATCTCGCCACGAAGTAGGGAGGGTCCGGGGTCTGGGAACCCTCTGGCAAAAGGACTGTGTCAAAAGACACGGCACTTATCCGAGAACCTTCGATCGATCGTGATCTCTGACAAACATGGTTGAATATTATTATGAACAATTACTTTTACATTATATTCTTTTAACATTTGTATCTACTAGTAATTCACATTAACTAAAATCAGTTACTTTTGAATGTAAATAATTTTAATAATTATCTGTTATATACGTTGTGGGTAATTTTTTGCCATACAATGATAACATAACATAAGAATTTAATACCTTATGGTTTGTGTACGTCAGTATCAATCATTTATTATAAATAGAAACAAAGAACACAGATGCTTTGATTTCATCTTCTACAAGTTCTGCAACTTCCTCGTCAATAGGTGAAAATATTTCGTCCACAATTTCCACAGAATGTGGTCTACGGGGATTAATTGGATCAACGGATCAAATGTGGTCTAAACTACTTTTAATTTTGCTCGCTCACCAGAGATTTATGTTTTAATATTATAAAAATATGCCAGCGCAACTGTAATTATGTAATATATAAACTGTAAATATTTTGATTCAATTTTCATATTACTTATTTGAAAATAAATTTACATTAAATTTATACTTTAACAGATTATAAATTATGTTTCAAAATAATATACAGAATAATTTCCAAATATTGTTATTACAAATATGAATTTTTAAAAATATTTATGATCTTTTAACGCGTTCCTTGCCGCGTGAGGCGTATACGCGGAACGTAACGTGTACAGAAATTGATCCGGCACGGAATGTGTCAATAAATAATCTGAATAAAGTTAAGAAATTTACATTAAAATATGATTTTATTTAGCAATATTATAAATAATATAGCATTAATACATTATGTAAAATAAAACTGAAATTAGTTTAGCAGGGAATAAATGTAATTTTGTGCTTTCTATCAATATACAGCAAGTAATAGTTTTATTCATTTTTCTTTTGTATTCTCGACAACATAACTTATATTAACTTTTCCATAATTTTATTTAAATAACTATTAATTTTATAGTTAACAATAATTTATAATTAAACCTTTTCACTGTTTTTATTATTATGTATGATATTTATACGTATAACATCTACATGTACACGTATTTAACTAAACTAGTTGTACAACAACTAGAGCCTTGTGTTAATAAAAAGAACAAGGGAAACCTCTTAAGCCTGAGGATTACGGAATTTTTCTCCTGCAAATTTAGCAGCTGCTCCTAACTCTTCTTCGATGCGAAGAATCTGATTATATTTGGCCAAACGTTCAGAACGGCAAGGTGCGCCAGTTTTAATCTGACCGGTCGACAGTCCAACGACCAGATCGGCTATAAATGTATCTTCTGTCTCTCCGGAACGATGAGATACCATTGTACCCCAACCAGCACTCTTTGCAAGTTTGTGAGCATTAATAGATTCTGTGACGGTACCTATTTGATTGACTTTCAACAACAGACAGTTACAAGCTTTCTTTTCAATAGCTGTTTGAATTCTGGAACATACAAGAATATGATGTCAGCAATCATGAACAGAAAAACTTTGATCAACATCAACGGTCATTAAAATGTTACCAACATTAAGTAATTATTTCAATTTTATAAATTTTAATTTTATCAAAAATAGCAACATGATTACATTTAAAAGTTTATTACTGTATTAATTCTTTTATCATTATAATTACTAAATATTAAAAATAGAACTTTTACCTTTCGGGATTTGTAACAGTGAGATCATCACCCACTATTTGAATAGGAGTAGAACTAGTGATAGAGGTCCATGAGGCCCAATCATCTTGGTCAAATGGATCCTCAATAGAAACAATTGGGAATTCTTTAACAAACTCCAAGTACAGATTCTTCAAAGCTTGTGGCTCCAAGTATGTGTTTGGATCAGATTTCTCATTTTTAAAATCTAAATCATATTTTCCATTCTTGTGGAACTCGGATGCAGCAACATCCATACCAATTTTTATCTTTCCTTCATATCCAGCAACCTGAAATTTTGTAACGATTAATAATAATGAAATAATACAGTATCGAGTAAAGTATGCTTCTCTAAGGAAAATGACATTACAGGATAAGTAAAAATTCTCAAAACCTTCATTTTGATGATATTAATATTAAAAATGATTAAAAAAAAAAAACTATTTTTAATTATTAAATACTATAAAATTTAATGTATAGTTAAGACATTGTCATTCTCCCCGTAGCCACCACTAGGTTGGCACGAGAGCCTAGGAGGAGGACACTCTACCGATATTATACAATATTTATTACTGACATAAAACAATTTATAATTGAATATTATATATTAAACTATAAGGTACGATAATTTAATTATTTAAATTATATTCAATTTAACATCATAATCAATAATCAATCATCATAAATCAAAATCTTTCTCCTATGCAAATTTTGTCTATAAATTAATTAATATAAAAAAAAAGTAACCTGTCAATGAATATAGATATTTCTATATAATGAAATATGAAACTTACTTTTATGGCATCTAAAATTAAGTTCAAAGCTTCTTTGTTCTCTAGGATATTTGGAGCAAAACCACCCTCATCTCCAACAGCTGTAGCATCAAGACCAAACTTCTTCTTAATTCCTGCTTTTAAGTGATGGTAAACTTCACTACCCATTTTCATTGCTTCTGTGAAATTAGCAGCACCAGTAGGTAAAATCATGAACTCCTGCATTGCTAATTTATTTCCAGCATGCGAACCACCATTAATAACATTAAAAGCTGGAACTGGTAAAATAATGTTGGGATTTCCAGCGAGTTCTGCAATATATCTGCAATTATAAGAGGATTAAAAAATTTACTGTATTATACTATATACTTTGTCACATTCTGTTTTTTGAATCATTAATTTTGATGTAAAAATGAATAAATTAAAAAATTTTTATATTGATGCACTGTAAATTTATAAATAAGTATATATCATTATAATAGATAGTATTACTGTTATTTTAATACAATGTTGACAACCAGCTTTATTATGTTGGGTGCCTTCCAAAATCTGAATACTTGTTATCCACTTATTTTTCAAAACCTGATAACCTATCATCGATCGTATTTTGCATACGAGTACTCATAATGCATGATCCATGACCAGACTCTAAAATAATTTTGATCAAATTCTGAAGGGATAATTAACATAATGAGCATTCAGCTTTTGGAAGATGCCTTTTGAAGAGATATTTTCATTTATAAATTAATAATTACGAAAATGTATAATATGACATATATAAATCACAAGCTTACTTACTTATATAATGGCACTCCTTTTTTAGCAGCTCCTGCTTTACAAACTGCCAATGAAACACCTAAAATTGCATTTGCACCCAGTTTTGACTTATTTGGAGTGCCGTCAAGTTTCAAAAGAAAATTATCAATGTCAGTTTGCTGGGTGACCTCCAAATTTGCCTAAATAATAAATGTTTAAATAATAATTATTTAGAGATTACTTTTCTTTTTGTCAATAATAATCTCTTAAAAGTAGTATAATTAGATTTTGTTTTAATATTTTAAAATACCTATTCCATTTATACAATACATATTTCTTAATCATACATAATTTGAAAGTTGATAAAAATATACCAAAATTTGCCAAAAATTTGTAAAAACACGGATAACTACCTTTAGTAATTCAGGTGTGATGATTTTATTAATGTTATCTACAGCTTTAAAGACAGATTTTCCATGATATTTGGATTTGTCATTATCTCGAAGTTCCAAAGCTTCATGAACACCAGTTGAAGCACCTGATGGTACTGCAGCTCTAAATAGTCCATTTTCAGTTACAAGATCAACCTGTAAATAATATATATGTATGCTAAAAATATCTAAGATACTTGTTTTATTACCGGCATTAAAATTAAATTTGAGTGCATTAATTGAGTAATATAGTTAAAAGAATCTAGATATGTAAATTAACCGTAACAAAACTTTTGGTAGTTACTATAAGTTACATAATTATATTCATAAATTTAACTACTAATTACATATATAATTAAAATATAATTTAACATCTTACCTCTACAGTTGGATTACCACGAGAGTCATAGATTTGACGTGCTTTGATGCTTTGAATCGGCATTTTGTTACCGGTATTAGTACTATATTTGGAAACCAAAAGTCTAAAACAAAAGTATGCACAAATAATAAAATACTTTGATAACAAGTATAAAACAATGTAACTTATTTAACATAAATAGAAAGCATAAAAGTAGTAACAATATATTGCTCCCCTTTAACCTTGAATTTGCTATACTATTTTCAATTTAACCCCCAAGTATCATGAAAGAGTTTCTCTCGATTAAAATAAATAATAGCATATATTATTCAAAAAAGTGTACAATATTTTTTAATATAAGAAGTACTTTAAAAAATGTATGAAAATAAAAGTGACAAAGCCATGCTATTTATACTTTAAAAACCAATATAACATACATTTCGTATGCTATATTTTAGATCAACGTATTCAAAAGTTAAGCATCCTAATTATTTCACAAAAAGATGGATAAAAAATTAAAGTATTATTATATTTTCGAAATAATATACTGCTTGACCTTGTCAAGGTCACTAGAAGAAATGGAAAAAAATTTTAAATAAAATTACGAATCACTAATTCTCTTATCTGAATGATTTACAATACTTGAAACTTGATTCTAATATGCTCGAAATATCACGTGTAATGACCTTACGGTGAAATTTCGGCACCTAATGCATGCGGTACGTGTTACAAACATTTTTCAATAATTCTGAGATAAAAGACACTTCAAAAAATAAGCAGCTGAAATCTTAATATCTTCAGTAATAGGTTAAAATTCTTGGAGTAACAATTTTTTATATAATGAACAAAACTTGAAGAAAATCTGCTCACCTAATGTGACGATCAACAACCTCTCGCAATGTTCGAATCAGAATGAGTGATATTCTGTCCTACAATTGACCTCGAATCTTGAACAGCGACTAGTATCGATTCTAATCTCACGAATCAATTGCAGAAAGTGAAAATGTTGAATATAACTTCCCCTTCTCGATTATCGATACTAATTGATACTACCTTAATTAAACCTGAAAGAACAAATTTAAATTATTTATTGCATTCAACTTTAAATTTTCATACGCTTGAATAATAAAATTACGTAATTTATTATGACGTCTATATTCTACATATATATAGTACAAACTTATCTCAAATTTCATTCCGATTGACTATCTTTGTCTCATGTTATTCATGCTTTGCGGTAGAATCTATTTATAAACGCGCGAACATCAAACAGTTCACATTTTGCATTTTGAGTTTAACAATACATAAATTAGTACTCGTGATATAATCATAATTTTCTTCCCATATACTTTTATAATACATTGCTGTAATTAAAAAATTAAATTATTATATAAAAAATTATGTCTAACAAACAGGATAATTACTTTTGGAACACAAAATCAATTACAATTATAAATAACAATAAATAACATTATAAGTAATAATGGTTAATATTTAATGTTATTGTTTTGCATTACAATTGTTACTTCGGACTTCACTTTATTATATTACTTCTTTGACTCTATTGATACTTTGAAGTATCTTAATATATTTTGTAAATTTTGCAGTAAGCTTAAACCCCAATTTTGTAACTATTTAAGTAATTTTACCTTAAAATTTTCTTTCCTTTTTTAAATGATTGTATTATTGAAAACCATATCTTTAAAGATAAATAATAATCATAAATTATTATAATAATAATAAATTTTTACTGTAACATTATTACACATGAACATACATATAAATTCGTATTTAAATTATCACATATCTATATGTACATATATTTTCAAGCTATTTAATCTGTAACTATTATTTATTTTCTTCTTTATATGCATTAGTGAATATATTAACTGATAAATGTCTATTGGATTATTTATAACACTTATTTGTAAAATGCATTAGGTATTTTTCATAATCAACAATATTGTTTTTGTTGAAAGTTTATTCAAAAATATGAAAGATATTTAGTTATTATGATACAATTTGTACATGTAAAATTATGTAATATAAAGACTAAAAGAACTGTTTCTTAAAACATAAGTTCATGAACAAATTTCGAAACGTATATTTCTATAAAATTAACAGTTGAGAATTACTGTTTTAAGAAAAATATTTTACAAAATTTATTATACATAATATTAATTTCAGTATAGTTACTTAAATAATTTTTTACATTTAATATTGAACTACTTTTATAACTAAATATTACATGTTTTTAAATATAACGATCTTTAATTACATTAACAATTAATTTTTATCGATTCCGGAGTTGTTTTCTTAAAGGCATAAATATCATGGAATTTTTCCATAAATTACATATATTCAGTCGCTTATGAACTGAAGGAGTAGAGATCAAGGTATTTTATACAAAGGCACCCTATATAAGTATTGCAAATGTAAGGAACGTAAAATGAATGTAGTAATTATTCAGAAAACTTAATCAAATTTATGAAAGGATAATGAATTAACATAATTAAAATTATATTATTAAAAAAATACATTTATATATGTGCAGGCATTAAATTATTTCAGTTTTTCGACTACTTAAGCTTTTCTTTATTAATGCCCAATCCTCAAGAATATCTGCATCATTAAGCATATAAACAATGTAAGGCCCTGCAACAGAAACTGCCCTTCTTCTTTCAGTGTGATTTCGGCGTCTTCTACCATTAGAATTTAACCACAAGTCTGCATGAATATCAACATTATTTCTATCTTCCTCTAATCTGCGGATTTTTTCTTGTAAATCATTGTGAATACAATCCCAGATCAATTCTTTTTCACTTTCAAAATTCTGTAATGCAGCTTGCTCTTCTGCTAAGAATTTGTTTTGTATATTTTGTAATCTATATTGTTTTAATATTCCAGCTACTTCTGTTTTCGTTTTCATATTTTCTTTTAAACGTTCCAAAGGTTTTAAATATTCCTCAGATTTTCCAACTCGAACTTCTCCTAATTTTGTATCTACTTGAGTAATCCTTTCATGGTAAAGTCTGAAAATTGTTTTCAAATTATACATTAGTGTATAATAACAAACTGCGCTTTCCTTCAGAACTTACTTTTATACAACATTTTATTAGAACAAAAAAAAGTTATTACTTACTGTTCTTTAAGAAGAGTAAACTGACGTTCTAGATCTACTAAATTCTCCATACATTCATTGCGCCGCCTTTCACATTCATCTTCATCCATTTCAGAAGAGTCATCACTGTCACTGTGTTCTGCACTGCTATCACACGATGCAGAGCTTTGGTTACTTTCATTACTGTCATGTGACATTTCTTCTCCTTCTGCCTCGGATTCATCTTTAACACTTGGCATCTGTCTACAAATTAAATGGCAAGGAATTAATTACATATTAAATGCATATAAGGATTTTGAAAACATGTCTGAACTTATATAAATTATTGACACCACTATGTAAACGTTACAGTAACATAACCTTAAATACACTCTTCACATTATCATAGAAGTTCTTATACTTATAACAGTAATTATAATAAAAAATTACAAAAATATATCACTGCGCTTTAATTAACGTTGTTAAAATATAAAACTTGTTCTGAAAAATAACAATTTCTGCTATAATCGAAAATTCCGGATAATTCTGCTCGTGATGTATATACAAAAGCAATCTAATTGATAATTCTAATAGATAATTGTATCATTATTTGTATAATATTGAAAAGCGTTCTTACTGTAAAGTAATTGTTTGTTTTTCTTTTACTAGCAACGTTAGGAATAATAACCGTTGTAATGAAAGAACGTCTGTCACAAGGATACCAAGCTGTATGTACGACTTTTATCGGCTATCAGCGTTGCCAGACGAAGGCTTCAAAATAAGTGACGTCACCCACCACGCGGCAATAACTGATACTATTCTGTGATGACGTCATTAAACAGGTGAGACATTTCAAATTAAATAACTTAAAGGTCCTCTAAAATATATGTAAAATTAATAAAATTTTAAAATAAAAAATAATAATAGAGAAGTTACTTATGCACATGATGATTCTGGTAAATTTAAAGGTGAACTTATAGAAAAGGCGCTCCCCCTCCGATTTCGATGATTTTTGAATACAGTTGTAAAATTCGACATTTTAAGCAACTTTTTTTTCAGCTGTAGTACAGTATGACCTATTCATAACAAAACGAAATTTTGGGGGAAGGGGAGGAAACCCTAAACATAAGGTTTTAGCTGCAAATTTTGATTGATTTCTGAGATATTAATAAAATTGTTTTTGAACAATACATTGAAATGTGCTTTAGGTTCACATTTCACTACCCTCATTACCTATTTGGGTAGGTTATTAGGTTGGTTTAGTGTTCCAGCCACTGTAAGGCGGTTGGCCACGCAAGTCAAAATTCAAAATTATTGAAATCAGTTAAGTTTGATTTATGACATTATTTTGTCATTACATTGTTATATAGTTAGCGGCAACGGACGTCGTGTTAAACCAAACAAGCGACAGAAAAATCAAAGCGGCTTGCTGTGCGGAATGTTACCGAAGGGTGAAAAATATAATTGCTGGAAACGACGCGGTATTACCCCAGAACGCTGGAGTAAATACAGTGTTAAACTCCTGCAGAAACACAGGTAAGTCCTCGGTCAACCACGCCAAACATTGACTTATTAATTTTATTTTGAAATAATTGTTTTACAAAGTTTGGGAGAGCTTTGGTCAAAGTTTACTAATGAAATTGGATAAAGCAGAAACTGAATTAACAGAGATAAAGGAAGGATTTTAAACCAACTTCAAACCGATAGAACAGAAATGGTGGCAAGGAAAGGGCGAAGGGGAGGAGTATGTGCCCTTAAAGCAAGGTCGGGTACTTGAAGTACACAAAGTCGGAGAAACAAAAAACATCGACTTGTTACTCATGTCGACTCATCGAGACGAAATTATGGCGTCTCGTCTCGGGAACCGTCCAACTATAACTCGTGTCATCTATCCAGTGGGACTGACGGGGACGGTCCCTGGTCCAGACGAGCCTAGGTTCTATATATGTTCACAGATCTTATACATAGGCGTCGATCCCATTTGATAGGCGTACCGGTATTATCGTCGTACTCCCCTTGTCGGTCGAGCGTCCAGAAACAGTTCTCCTGTACTCTCCCTTCTTCCGGTAGGCGTCCAGGTATTGTCGCCGAACTCTCCTACCGGGATCTCTCTCGTTCTTCTCCGGCAGGCGTCCAAGTATTATCGCTGTACTCTCCTGCCGGAGTCCGTAGCTTGCCGACCAAGAGCGGCTGATGGTCTTACCTTGTCTTCTCTCTCAACTAACAGCAGGCAAAATAGGCCGAGGCAGTCGCGAGCCCTTAATTTATATCCGTTCGTTGCTATCCGCGGCCGCCGTAATCAACGATCTCATCGTCAGGAATGAATTTGGCGTTTGCCGCGCTCGCGTTCCGCTTCTCCGTTCGCGCGTCGTGTCCCTGCCTCCCGCGATAGCCTATAAGTGACACCGATCTATAGATCAGTGATAATTGACTTTTTTCGAAATTGTCTGGATAATTCCAGACCGCGTTGTTTTTGCAAAGTTTCTTTTTTTTCCGTTGTTACAATGTCTAAAAAATGAAGAAATACGTATGAAAAGGCAGTCGGCAATAAGTCGCGCAAAATAGTACACATAAATAAGCGATCATGGCAAGAAATTATTTAAACAAATAATGTAAAAAGAACTAGTCCAGTCAAGTAGTTTAAAAATATTATAAAGTGTCTTAAATTTACAAATACGTTTTATTTTTCACAGAAATTGTAATTTAAATGATAAATGGTAATTGTTTCCTTTTTATACAAAAATAAGAAGTAGCAAATAAAATATGATGTGTGTTAATAAAAAGCTGTGTTGTCCATCACACGCGCGCGCGTGTGATTGTGATGCTACTGTGTGGAAGTGTCAGCTGATGTATGAATGCAAAAGTATGAAATGTGGTAGTGTGTTAGTCGAGCAAAGCAAGTATCGATAACGTAACGCGCGTGTGACGACGCACAGTGGGACAAAACTGCTTTTGGCGATCAAAATTCCGTAACTTCGGTTCTATTGGAAACATTTTAATGAAATTTTGGGAAGTTTTTGCCTACATTATGATACTTAAGTTGTATTTATATAAATCATATTGAACTACAGGGTGTCAAGATATTCACGTATAAACTGTAGCGCGTTCAATATCCTTCACTTATTAGACATATTTTATGTCATTTAACAAAAAATTGACTCAAAACTGTTAATAACTATAAGAGAAACGGATTTAATAATTAAAAAATGACAAGACATGTGTTATTATAATATATTTATTTATATTTATTATGATCGATACCAAATCATTCGTGAAAACAGTTTCGACAATTATGAAAATTTATTATGGCATATTGCAAGGACGAAATAAAGTTTTGGATGACGAATATACACGTGGAATGCAGTTAACTGGTTAATAATCGTATCTGGTACTGTTTTTCTATCATCGTGCGCAGCGGCCAAGATGGATGTAATTTCATTCAATCGCCATTTTCTTGAAACAGTGCAAAAAAGTGCAACCGATTTTTTCAGATTCTGATAGAGGAAGGTTCACTCTTTCCTGTAGTAATAATTAAACATGTGGCAAATTGTGGCATTTTTTTAAAATCAAGCTCAAAGTTGAGATTTTATTTAAATGTACTTCGTTTCAATCAGATCCTATTATTTAAAAAGTTGTTAACATTTTAACTTACTTTATGCACTGAATAGAATCTATACTATCCTAGTAAACTTTATCATTCATTTGAATTGTATCTTTTTGAGTAAAATTCATTAGAATCGTACATTGAAGTTACGGGTAATATTATCAGCGTTTCGTTTTGACGAATTTCTACTGACTTTGAGTGCAAACCACGGCAAAACGGAAGCAAATATGAAAAAACGGATTACACTACGTTAAACTACAGTTTATTCTCTATCGATGTATGTAATTAGTTTTTCAATTTTCGAATTCACGAAAATCGACTTTTGATCGCCGAAAGCCGTTTTGTCCCACTGTGCGTCGTGACGCCGGAAAATTTACTAAATATTTGTGAGTTCGGAGATACGCTAGTCCCATACGGGCCCTTTCATCAGATCGCTAATATAATAGGAGGCTAATAAAGGTTATGTCAAAGAAAATTAGATTTGGTTAAAATGAATCAAATGGTATATTATAAAATAAAAATGTTAAAATATAATGGAATACATATAATATTGAAAGGTATAAAATATATAAAATATTGAAATATTATGAAGTATATACAATATTGAAATATAATAATAATAGGTGTAAAATATTAAAATATAATGAAATATAATAATGCGATTAAATATAAGAAAATGCAGATTTAGCTCGCGAACAATTTAGATTTGAGACACACAATTATTGGCCGGAAATAGACAAGTACATGTGATGAAATACAATTTAGAATTAGGAATTTCCAATTGAAGAAGACTCTTACAATCAAAATTGACTACTGGAAATTCCTCGGCAAAATATTCATAAAACGACCGAAAGAGTAATGGAAACGACTCACCGGATTATGTGGAAAAAGTCCTATTGCTGCTATTTCTCTGCTGACTGGTTTCTGGAGGAAAGACAGTAGAGCACACACCCTGAACTGTTGTACCGATACACAATTATAACGCGTGAACTATTACGAAGTCTATTAAACTAAAACTACGCAAATGTATGTATTTATAAAGAAATAAAATTAAACTGAAGAATAAAAATAATGAATAAAATAATAATCGGAATAAACGAAAAATAAAAGGGATACGCGAAGATAGAGTCTTTTGCCCTATTTGCTACTTTCGAACAACTTGGAACAAAACTCGTCTCTGAACCACTTCGCGGACCCGCCGACACGCTGCTCGCGATTGTACGTCGAAGAGTGTCGCAATCTGCACCTCTCGGAGAAGACCAGAGCGGGCCTCGTCCGAAATTGTTTACATTGCGTTGTTGTGCGCCTAACGAATTAGGCGGCGATGTCGATGCGTAAGGAGGCGGGATTCGCTTATCGGTGGTGCAGCAGGGATATGTGCGTTGCTCTCTCTGTTTTAATCTTTCTCTAACTAATTCGCGTATATTCCCTTACTCTTCCTGTCATACTAAAGACTTTGTTATTCATTAAAATATAATAAATTTTACAAAATTGTTTTGATCTTAACGTTATAGGAAGGAAACATGCTTTTCAAAATTATTACAGATTACTGAATTTGAACGAATGTTAAATGAAAATTTTAATTTGTAACTTGGACTAACCGGCGTGGCGGAAATACAATATTACAGTGTTTAGTGAATTTAGTTGAAAATTAGGATTATTATAATGTATGTATAAGAAATTTCGATCATCTTCGCGGAACCGATAAGGAACATTCTAGAGTGGTCAGGATTATCGGACCACACGAATGATGTTTCGGGTTTACATCCGGCGATATTCAGTACCAAGGACGACACGTGATTTTGAGCCGTGGGACCACGCTGATTTCGAGGAAGGAATTTATTACGCTAACAATCGGAATTATGTCTGGAAAAGATAGACTATCTCGTAATATCAAGGATCGTTTCTGCGTTCAATCAGGGGAGGTCCGGAATGTAAAACAAGCTATCGATGTTCATGGTTTCCGTTCGCACCTCCAACCAAGGTCTAGGGTACGACGAATCAAGATGATGGGAGCAGGTCCATCAAAAAGAGGACAGAAGGGGGGTGGGAATATGGCTTTCGCCTAGACAATCGCTGATGAGCGCAGTCTCAAAATGAGGGGATCATTTCCGAGGAAGCGGAAAGGACACCGGATCCAGCATCAACAACTGCACCAGTAAATACTGAGGACAATTCGATGATTTGGGGGGGGGGGGCGCAAAGTGAATGTGTAAACATTTCTGTTCGGAACGTACATACCACTGATCTATTGGTACATACTTACTTACACATATACATACATACCAACATACATACATATGTATGTATGTACATAGAATTGAATACTGTACACATAAATATAAATATATGTAAAAATATACTAACAATACATATAAAATTATATTACATATATACAAAATTATATTACATGTGTACAGACTTAAATTTACATTAATTGTCTGTAAGGTTACTGTATCTCTGATCAGTTTTATCTGGTAGTAAAATGCCAGTGACATCTTGTAGTACAACTTATGTTGAACGATACATGTTTGAATTGTACAATTCCAACATTCCGTCAGGAATTTCATATGTAACGCAATTTTTATTTTTATTTTTTAAATGTAATTTGATTCGCATAACTGCACTTATCATGGCAGGTTTTAATCTGTTTCTTTCTTTCGTTTTAATTTTTGTGACTAGTGAAAAAAATCTCTCTACATCGGCGTTCGAGTGTGGTAACGTCAAACATAAATGTGCTACACTTGAAATATTGTAAAAAATTTGGTTACCAGCAGAATCGGTGATCTTACTGACTGAATTCCAAAATCGTGGAATGTCTAATTTTAACAATTTTTGCTTTTCTTCTTGTGAAAAATAAAACGGCATTAAACGCCATTCATTTGCCACACGAGTGCTCCGAAATTTAGACTTAAATTTATTTATAATACAATCTATCTGATTTTTATGCTTTGTTAGGTCCAAGGTTACTACCGGATCCAAGAACTCTAAGGAATATAAAAATTGTTCCTTTAATGGAAATCTCTTTACCGCATTTTCAAAAGAACACTGGTAGAATTTCCTAATATTTCTATAAAATTCAACAATTTTGTCATTACTGTCTGCGCAATTTATGTTTCTGATTTCGTTAATTGTGATGGCAGCTTCAGTACCAATGAAAATGTCTTCAAGAGGAAGCAAATTGTTTTCTTCATAAATGTTGGCGTTTTGCACATTTGTTTCGACACACTGTGGTTGCAAGAAATTACTCCCCAAAAGCCTCAAAAATCGAACACACTCTTCTATCAAGCGATGTACCAAAATTATGGATGACTGAAAAGTTGTATTAAAATGGGTGAATATTTGTAATATGTAATTTAGAAACTGCAGATATGCCTTCGTGTAAAGACAATTAAAGCAATCGAAAATTCTGGTGGCAGTGTTCGATTTATCCTCAATGACGGCCTCTGCAAACACAGTAAACAAAACTGTCCATTGATCTAGCACAACTTCGATGCATTCTGATAATGCCAGCCATCGAGTTATAGCAGGATGAATAACTTTTTTTCGTGCAGCTTTCATTAACTGTTGAGTGTTTTCTAACACAGTTTGCCTTTTTGAACTTTTAGAAAAGTAGGATGGAATTGCATGAAGAAACTGCTCAATATAATGTGGAAGGCAATCCGTTGCATGATATGCAATTAAATGCATGGTGTGAGAAGTGCATGGGAAGACAGAAACTTCCTCGTTATCTTCTAATAAATGAGAAATTAACAAGTTCTGCTTACCCAACATCACATTTGCATTATCAACGCCGATACCAACTATATTTGTTACAGATAAGTTATGCTTTTCTAATGAGCACAGAAAGCATTTATATAGATTTTCTGCCGTATCATCCATGACACGCAAATAATCTAACAAATATGTTTGTATGTGTCCTTCGTGCACATATCTAACTAATATACATAAATTTTTTGTTCCCGAAATATCAGTACTTTCATCTACTATAACAGAAAATACCTTGTTCTGTAAGATTACAGACATTTCAGAAACAATATATTTGTTTAGAACATTTTTTATTATTGCGCTAATTTTCGTTCTTTTGAAGAATATGTTTTTTCCTACTGGCGAATCAGGTACTGCAATTATGTTAGCAAAATGTTCAAACGAATGGAAGCTTCGACTATGCTCAATAATGTCCAAACAGAATCGTAATTCAGCTTTTTTAATATCGTTCTGAAAATTGATGACCTGTACATCTTCTGTTGTAGCATCTCCTTCTTCTAGTCCTCTCTTTTGCATACTTATAGTGTGCACAATGGTCTTCATATGTTTAAGGAGGTCACTTTTTCCGGCCGTGAACGTACTGTTGCAAACGACACACTTAGCTTTATATGGATTGTCGCACTTTTTTAACCACGATGCAAATTTTGAATCTTGCAACCAGGCATCTCGAAATTTTTGCCTTGCAAAAATTTTTTTCGGAGGAGGCGCAGAAAACATGCTGCCTATTCATAAAATATTCATTATTAGTTGGTTTCAAATGTTATAATAATGCATTTCTGAAAACTTATTCCTTTTTAAATGTGAATCAATGTAACAGTATTGAACACGTGCCTTACCTGATTCATTGTCTACATCCAAGATTTTAATAGCTGAACTTGGACCAGAAACAGCCATACCACTATCATTGCCTGTTTATAAAATATTCATTATTAGTTAATATTAAATGTTGTAACAATGCATTTTTGATAAGTTTGCAGCTTTATAATTTAAGAAACTCTTGTATTTACTAAAAATCATTCCTTTCTAAATGTGAACAGATGCAACTGTATTAAACATGTCTTACCTACCTGATTCATTGTCTACATCCAAGGATTTAGTAGCTGAACTTGAGCCAGAAACAGCCATACCGCTATCACTGCCTGTTCATAAAATATTCATTATCAGTTAATATTAAATGTTATAATAATCCATTTTGATAAGCTTGCAGCTTTACAATTTAAGAAACACTTGTATCTACTAAAAATCATTCCTTTTTATATGTGAAGAAATGCAACAGTATTAAACACATACCTTACCTGATTCATTGTCTACATCCAAGGTTTTAGTAGTTGAACTTGGGCCAGGAACAGCCATATCGCTATCATTACCTATTCATAAAATATTCATTATTATTTAATTATTATTATTATAATAATGCATTCTAAATAAATTCAAAAGAAGAAATGATTATGAAAATGAAATATAATATAGTACACGTGAAATTAGGAAAAGTTTAAGTCATCAGTTTGTGGATTCGAATTTCTTTCATTTTCCTATTTCGAAACAATATATACTTGCATGTACATAGTGCAATTTACGAGAGAACATATTTGTGAAAGTATGTCAAAGGCCGAGTTTTCGTTCATGCTGTGCATTTCAGTCCATTACAGTCCTCATTGGTTCTTGCACGCTTCGTAGTGCGCAAACACTCTTGCCCGTACACACGTTACGATGTAAACATACATATATGTATGGATTCCTAAGTTTCATGATGCGATTTGCAATCCGTGTAAATTTGCATTTATGAAATTGCAAAACTCAATTTTGCTGTTTTTAAAACCATCTTTTTGTCCATTTCCTTCTAGATTTTAGTTTGTTACGGGTAGAATGGTTATGTATGGTTCTGGTTACCATCGGTAAGGACGTCATATACACTGCAATTCACCAGAGTCCATAACTGCGACGCGCAGGTTGGAATATGGTGGGGGAACTTAGCGAGTCTCGAACTCCCACTCCGCTAGTCGCTTAAATCGCGAGTTTAATATACAGGGTGAAACAATAATACGGTTGAATAGGAAGAATACAGAATGATACACGTGAGTAAAAAACCGTGTTATCCGTTATACACTCCAAATGATGCACTTTCGCGTAGATGCACAGCGTGGAGGCGCCTCAGCGACGCTGTGCGCAAGCGTATGGGAGTTAGAGTATCGCCAATCAGGGCGAAGATGTGCACGAAAGAACGAAAACTGGTCTTTTCGCAGTTATGGACTCTGGTGTACTGCACTGTAAAGTACTAACTACATATCACTAGGTAATCACCACGTGGTGTGCACAACAGTGCACAAGTCGTATTAGTACAAGGTGATAGTAAAGCCGTGCCGCACAACGGAACCCCTGCTGTTCCGTTTCTTGTTTTCGTCTCAGCCATAAACATACACAGAGCAGTTTTGGGTCCGGCGATATGGCCCCTGGATCTCTTTACCCGCAAAAACAGCGTTCAATTGTGCGACACGGCTTTTGTCTTGCGTAGCGAGAGAATCACACTGTATATGGAGGCACGGAGGGCTCAGAAGTGAATCAGTGTAAATACATTTTCGGTATCAAAACCACCGATAAATGAAACAGTTTAGTAATTATCGATTTAATCATTTTTTATTTGTTAATAACAGCTACTATTTTTTTATAATCCATTTTCTAAACAGTTAATTATCTCCGCTCACATACTTTGTAACTTGTTAGACTGATTAATTTTTAAGCCCTCCATGTATAGCTTTACATGACGTGTGTGGCGTCACTTGGCCTTTATTATAGAGCCTTCATCTGGCAACGGTGATATACACTTATATTTTACAAAAAATGATTTTTTTTAAGATAATATTGATATAAAAGTATTAAGTATTTGTCTTACCTGACTTCCTCTTCATTTTGCAACTTCAAAATTAAATAAAACTGTTAAAAAATAGCGCTAATCCGTTACTTCACAATTCACCTTATACTACATCAAACAAAAATCCAAATTGTGGTGGCGGGATAGCGTGATTAACCGACGCTAACTGTTGTGCTTTTCCGTCACTTCTTATTACGTTACGTAGGCTTCATATGGCCATGTCGCCCTATTTCTGGCTTTCGGCAACGCTGGTATCTATGGAGCAGCGTTGCCAGAAATAGGACGAACATGTCCACATAAAGCCTTATATGATATTTAAAGAGTAGTAGAGGGAAATGGTTGTGGTTATGGTTGCGTCGGTAAAGACGTTATTTAAATCTATACTAAACCAAAATCGTCATATGGTGTATAAGTACATAAGTAGGTCGTATTAGTATACAGGTCTACATAACGCCTGTGTGATGCTACTTCAGGCTTTATTATAAAGCCTCCATCTATGGAACACATGGCGCATTCACCAGAGAATAGAGAGGAACAGAGGTGCTGATATCCGGGGTGTTACTTGTTGTGACATATTGATGTTGCACCACGCAACTAACTTCTGCAATAGAGTAGAAATCTGTAAACGGTAGCATATACTGTGTACCGATGAACAGAAGTCTCATGAAAAGGCCGCAACCTAATTGGTTGCGCCCCACCTCAGCTCACGCGTACTTTCGGTCGTGACGTATGATTGGTCGAAGTGATCACATTTACTAATCAGGCTCGTGTAAAACTAGGGGGTCAGTCGATGTGTGCGTAGTATCCCCTCTTGCCCCTATGTCGTCCCGCGAGACTTGTTCATCGGTGGACAGTACCAGAATCCTTCGATATCCTAATTAGCATATATGTATAAAAACCCTCCGACATCTATATTAGCATGTATGTACTTACAAGAACCATAGATCTTATGTCGCACGTGTCGGAAATTATACAACTTTATTACAGTTATTACATATAACATATAACATATTTCCGCGATTCCTTTCATCCAAGTTTTTGAGGTGAAGGAACAATATTTTCGCATGATTGTGTTATTTTTAAATATTCTTTGTACAGTTATCCAGCGCTATAAGTTCAAAGTCCGATTCTGCAATTTGGCTTTTGAAATCTTATAAGAAATAGATATCTGTAGAAGAAATATTTTTTGCAATTCTCCTTTTGAATATGAATATCATGATCATTATGCGTTTCTCTCAAAATTGTGTCTGAATGAAAAATGAGAAATACTTTTTCGTGTTTCACTTCTACTCCACCAGAGGTGTTACTGTTTCTTCTGTTGATTTCTGTATGACTAACAAAATTTCTACATAGCAGTAAAGTACTGTCCACCGATCACGAGAAGTCCCATAAGAATAACACAATCTGATTGGTCGCGTCTCACTTTGCTCACACATAGTTTTGGTCGTTGCATGTAATTGGTCGAAGTGATCACATTTACTAATTAGGCTCGTGTAAAACTAGGGCGTTAGTTGATGTGTAGTATTCCCTTTTGCCCTTGTGCTGTCCCTCCTGACTTCTCGCAATCGGTGGACAGTACTACATATGCATGAAAGGAAATAAGCAAGTACAATTTTTATGTGTATACATATATAATATATATAATATATACTATAAATTATATATGTTATATACGTACATATATATTTTTTTAATATATAATACTCCACCGGATACAATAATACATTTGGACCTGCATAGAACAAACAGACAGATAATGCAACATTTGCATAACTGTAAAGTATACTAGGAATTAATGTATACAGTATACATATATTTCTCGTGTGCTTTTTTGTGTTTCGTGAAAATTTCCCATTAAATAGGTCTTTCTGCGCGAAATGAAGGTACAACTCGATTTGTGCATTTTGTTCTTTCATACGAAATTCATTCTTATTTCTTTTACGCTTATAAGATTTATCACACAGAAGACGGTTACGGTAAGAATTCTTTTACTCAGTAAATTGTTGCATAGGATTAAGCATTTAGTAAAGAAACTCGATAACAAATCTATTACAATTCAATTTTTACAAATTTGAAAGAATGAAGGTGAATTATAAATGATGTAGGCACTTGATTCTTTTTACAGGTAATTTCATTGTCGTTATATGAAGCCGTATTTAACGTATAAAAGTTCTACACGAAATTTATGAAGAGTGCTGCTTCCTTCGGAAGGAAAAACGTTTCCAAGAAAATTTGTCAGTTATTATAAGTCGAGTAAACGGTTCCTTACCATACACATCTAATGTGCTGTGCGCAGTTTCACGTTACAGCAGATTTCTTTTTGTTTTATTCCCTTTTTTTAGAAAATTTCAAAAAGTTCGCCGTTATATCTGTGTAGCAATTTCATACAGATTTTTTTAATACTCATTTCATGCAATATTTATGACAGCGCCATCGTGGTTCATTAAAATAAAGTATAATCTAATTGCAAAAATACTATTTTTCTTTATCATTGTGTGGTGAATAAAACTTTGAATCTGTACAAAAGGTTGTATAAAATATAAGATTAAGGAAAACAGTTCAACAAGTCGTTGAAAGCAAACTCAGATTTTTAAAAATGTACAATATTCGAAAAAATAATTTGAAGACGGTGTGCGAACGTATAGGTTCTTAAATTAACACTTTTGAATTTTAATCTATAATCGATTAATTATTTTGTTAGTTTAAATATTGTGTGTACACTCACGATCAAATCAGACTTCCTTAAAAAAAATGTCGATGTTCCGGGTTCTCGCCTTTCCTTTTAGGCGTTTGCAAGGAGAATAACGATGCAAGGGGAGGGCCTCAATTTGCATTGATACTTATTTATTATTCATATTTTTCAGTTATATATTACAGTTTACAACATTTAATAATTAAAAATTATATTATTTTGTTTCTAAATCATTTTTAATATTAATATTGTCAAAATTAAGATTTTGAGAATTATACAGGGTTTCCCACCTAACTTGAGCATCTTGAATATCTTGCTTATTTTTTATGATAGAAAAAATGTCAGGGGGAAATATTATTTTGTTCGAAGGGGTAAATATTATGAAGGTTAAGAAATTTTTCTCGAGATTTCAAGGTCATTGGAGTTTTTTTGAATGGGACAACATATTTTCATCATCATGGCATGATAACTGAGGTCCAACCAACGACTTATAACACTATGATCTTCACGTTACCTTGAGTACAACAAAATTCATAAAATCCAGATAACTGATGGACAAAATGAAATAATTAATAGAGAGATTAACGGAGGAAATTTGTACTGAAGTTGGACATCATTTTGAGCACTTGCTACAATACGATTTCCTCCATTAATTTTTCATTCTATCCATCAGTTATCTAGTTTTTATGAACTTTTTGTACTCGAGGTAACGTGAAGGTCATAGTGTTATAGGTCGTTGTATTCGTCTTGACGTCAATTATCGTACCATAATGATGAACATATGTTGTCTCATTTAAAAAAACTTCAATGACCTTGAAATCTCGGGGAAAAATGACCTTGAGAAAAGTTTCTTAACCCTCATAATATTTATAATAACCCTCGAACAAAATAATGTTTCTTACTGACATTTTTCTCTATCATAAAAAATAAACAAGATACTCAAGATGCTCAAGTCAGATGGGACACCCTGTATATTATAACTGGCTCTATGTATATCGCCAGTTCCACTTCGGAACTTCGATTTTATCAGAAGTGTACATAAAGTTATGTCATTCATAACAGTATACATGTACAATTGCACGGTAATAAAAAGTGCGAATTAAAGGGAGTTCTAAGGGGTCTACAGCTGCGGCCCTCATTTTCCAGGGAGTCCTGTTGTAAGCTTTCCATTTACTTTGCCAAAAATACTGAATTCAGTTTTTTTTACTGTTACCCGTTTTCTTTACAAGTAAATGTTACTTAATTTTAGTTTAAATAAATTTTAATTTTTTAAATAAAATTAACCAAAGGGTCTGTCAAACGTTTGATTGTTCCGGGCTTCAGAAACCTTAATTCGAACCCCGGAACAATAGCGAAAAGAAAGGTAAATCTTACTATAATCACTGATAATCTTCGTCAAATAATTAGGATAAGTTTCCGCATGGCCCCACCAAAATTGAGAACTCAGGTTCAGTATATAACCTAAATTGACTACAAGAAACCGATTAAAATTGGTTTCAGAGATGGATGTTTTACCGTTTTTGAGATATCGTGGTAAGAAATTTTTGTACAATTTTGGGACTAAGTATGCGCTATTCGATACTGAACATATGCTATTCGATACTGCGCATACACAGAACCTAACCTAATCTAACCTAACCTTACCACGATATCTCGAAAGTGGTAAGACATCCAGCTTTGAAATCAAGTTTAATCGGTTTCTTGTAGTCAATTTAGGTTATATACCGAACCTGAGTTCTGAATTTTGGTGGGGCCATTCGGAAACACAGCCAATAATTAAAATAAAAGTAAATGAATTATTTTGTATATAAAATAAGTTTAACTATTTGGGCTTTTGTCGATGTCATGTCTCTTAGCACCTCTTTCTGGTTGCCGTTGACCCGAATGTTTTAAAGATTTGACGATTAAGCACGCGATATCGCGTGATCGGCTTCTTAGCCACTGACGACATCGAATCGTGCGATGGCTAAAGTGTTAATTTTAAAAGTGCTTGCAAAAGTCTTTATCTTTTCTTTAAGACATCTTATATCTTAAAGTTTATTAATTTTCAATACACTTTTTTTCGAAAGCGGTTTATTGTTAGCTTATGTCTTCGTCTCACTTATTGTTTTTCAAGAAATATATAATAATACTTCATACAAATGTAAAATAAAACATGAAAATACTTTATTTTGCATTTTACAGCTTTTATTATATTTCAATTTTTTAACGTTTTATTATAATCAACAAAGATTAACAAAGAGAAATACACATACAGTCGGGGGAAAATGCTTATATTGGAACT